AAATGAAAGCTGTTGTAAAACTTAATTTACCAATAACCAATTAGTTGAAATATATATAAATTTTATAATCAGATTTTGCATTTTCTATTGGCTCTCTTTTTCTAAATGACTAGTATTTATCACCCATACTGAATTTAATTCATGCATTTAAAATATTGATATTTCTTAAAAGTATAGGCTAATTAGTAAAATTATAAAATATGAATAACAATTTTATGATATAAAATTAGTGCAAAATGAAATTTAATATGGTGTAATTTAAAGTACAAATTTAAAAAATTTGAAGACAATTCAATTATTGTGAGATTATCACAATGCTGAGCTGCAATTTTTTATCATAATTTTATTTAAAAAATTACACTACTTCCAATCCAGAACAGAAGTCTGTGTATAGTTAATTGAGCCTCTGGATCTCTAAGCTTTTCATATCTGGTCTTGATTTTTATCTATCTAACTCTATTCTCAAGATTAAGGAAGACCAGACAGACAGATGATAGTCAGAATCTACATGTGTGTAGTTTGAAAATTGCAGTTCAAATACTGTAGATCAGTGATGGTGAACTTGTGACCCACAAAAGCATTTCAAGGTACCCATATTAAATATTTAGAAAGTATCAGGTTTATAAACTATAAAAAATATTTGATAGATTTCAAAATTATATATATAGTATGTAGAATGAAAGCAGGGTCCTAAAGCTGTTGTGAAAAGTCATTGTGAACCTCGGATAGGAAAATTGTCATTAAATAAACAACAGATGATTTCCCATTAAATTAAATATTTGTTTCCATTTTAATCGTGTTGCTTGTTATGTTTGATCTGCAATTTATAGCAGCATTGGCAACTGATGTCCGGGGACCACTGATGATCAGTGAGAAAATTTTGCTGGTATTGATTTACTTTTCCAAAATTAGAGAAACCATTTATATATGAGTTCATGTAGTATTATTGGTGTTTTGTTTTTACATATCTTTCAAAAAATAATGAGAGAGACTAATATTGAGAGTGATTTTTCTGTAATTGTGTTGCAATTTGAAAAAATTGTAGACCTATAAATTTCCACTGTTTTCTGTCTATCTTTCCTTAATCTCGAGAACGGAGTTAGATACTCGTAGAGAAATTTTGACATTGATCAACTCAAGGTTATGCAAAGTATTACGAAAGAAATGCAAAATGCTTTTTCTCACTCATTGGGGTTTTTTTTATTTAAATCTAAAACCAAACATGAAATGATTGTTATCAATAAATAATCAACAATTAATAATTTGAGTATGATTGTTGTCCTTTGTGGAAAAGAGTCAACAATCCATAAACTTATTTTGAACAAGCAACAACAGACTTCACACTAATTTGTTATAATTAAACAAGTGAATTTCATATTAATAAAGTAAAATGGAACTATGATCGTTATTCTATAGATGTTTGTATCATTTTTTAAAAATTCATGATGGTCTGTGGAATTCGAAGTTGTGAGTTTTGTGGTCTGAGGTCAGATAGGTTGGTGACCAGTGATGTAGAGTTAATAAATTTTGAATTTAATTTTGACCCACCTTCGAGAAAAGATTTGCCATTGCTGGACTAGATAATGATAGAAATAAAACTGTCATCTGAATGATTGAGAGCACTATTCGGTTCTTCATCCATGAAATTTTGATGACATTTTTAATTTCTTTCTTATTACTAAAATGGACTAGTTTCAATGTTAGCTGTAAGTTTATAAAAATGTCAAAACAAATGAAATATAATCTTGTATACAGTGATGAAACATTACAATAATCTTTCACCAGTGATGATATTAAATGAAACATTTGAATTTTTAAAGGAAATAAGCGCATTTGCAAGCTTTGCATGTTAGGATTCTAGATATATTTCAGAATCCATTACAGTCAATGTATTAAACTAATTTAGATCCCACAGAAACTGAGTGAGATTGTTATCAGTTCCTAAGGATGTTGTCTAATGAAAATTTTGCTATTGGATAATCTTGAACTGCTGATACTGATGATGATAATGAAGATAAGTCAAACCTTTGGGCATAACTTCAAGCATAAAGATGGTGATTAATTATTAGGAAACAGATGCTGGCATAAAATTGGCCAATTTATGTTTTCAAGAGATTAATCAAAGAAGAGAAAGATGCCAATGGATTGAACATAGTAGTAGTTGTTTCCTGGAGACACTTTACAGGAAAGCAAGTTTTAAACCATAGAATCTCTTTCAGTGATGATATGTTTCTATTCAGACAACTGGTGGCAATTACTATAGCTAATGTATATGAACAGTGTAAATTGTCATGAATTAAAGGATTACACATTCAACAATATCTGTATTTAGAAGATAAAAAATATACTTTTTTTGTTTTTAGGCTAAATGAACACACATGTAAATGGAACTAAAAGCACGTATTTTGTTTCTGCTAATTGATTTTATACATACATATTCCTATCCTTAATCCTTGACTTAGAACCACAGTATGACTGAATACAGATTCCATGTTGAATTTTGTTTTTATAAAAATAAAAGATAAAGTAGCAAACAATGTCTTAACAAGCTTACTTGATAAATTCAATCAAAGTATAGCTAAGAGAATTCTTTTCAATGATTGAAACAAGTAGTCTGCTTTAACTATCATTTTTTGAATGGGTTACAGCAGGGGTGGCCAACAAGTCGATCGCAAAGCCAATTTTGGTCGATCACTTGCGATGTCTTGACTTAATGTGTTACACTTGTAACTGAACGTGACTGTAGTGATATCGGACCTCCGCATCCTCCCTCAGATGCGGTTTTGTTGGTCCATTTGCATACAGTTGTAAAAGGGGAATAAGAAATGTAGACAAAGGGTTGTAAAACTGAAAAAAAGAAAGGAGGGAAGAGGGACAGAGAGAGTAGGTCAGGACACGGTAGAAAGAGGAAGGGTGAAGTGGTGTTCCCCAAAAGTGACAACGTTGAGTTTCAATTTTTAACAATTTTCTGTTTAAAATGTAAGTACAGTACCTTTTCTTCATGTTTTAAATTAAATTGCGGCTTTTCTTACCTATCTAAACATAGTATGTATTACAAACCTCCCCTCACAACTTAGACTATGTCTATGACGACAAGTCAATCGCGACACATTTTTAACCCCATCTATGCCATTTCTTTATATTTTCAACTGATTCTTCTAAATGTATCAAACTTCCATAGGTCTGTTTTGAATTTTAGTATTGATTTAAATGTGACTTTCTAATTTTAAAAACTATTTTTTAATCTGATAGTAATTAATATTAAAAAAAATGGTTCTGGTAAAAATACTTGTGAATCAAGGTCATTTGTAATGATGTAAGAAGTATAAAAAAAGGCAATTTTAGTTGCGAAAAATGTGAGGTGAGAAAATTTTGCATGCAAAGAAAATATGAAGATTACATTTTCCTGCTAACTGGGCTATACTTGATTAGACCTTTCGGTTTATATTATCCGTATGGGCTTGGATAAACCCACATCTCAGTCACAGTTAAAAAATAAATCTACATGTAAGTTTATTTGAATCATATTTTCTAAGCTATGGATTACTGTAAACAACCCATTTAAAATTGTAACTGTGTATAGTCAAACCTCAATTTTTGAATCCCATGCTTTTTGAACAATTCAGTTCACAAACAGAATTTCACACTTATAATTGCACCGGTTGATGAACAAGTTGGCCAGATGCTGGGAATGGATTAGAGAGAGAGAGAGAGAGAGAGACGTTGAACTTCCTATGTTGATGGTCTGACCAATCAACAACGGGACTATTGATTTAGATATTAGTGACACTGAGATTACCTCGTATCATCAGATGTTATGACACGAATCATCAACAATGTTGCTATTTAAATTAGATTTTGATGCGCATGTGGGAAAGATGCTATTTTTGTTTTTTTGGTACACTCCACAGTTGAATATATATCAAATTAATTAATAAAAACCATGTTAATTGACATTCATATAATGCTAATGGCATCCAAGTCTTAAAATACAATGCTAGATATTTAAAAAAAACATTAAAAATTGTGGTTGGAATGGTATGAATTAAAATAATAATTAAAATTTTTAATTTCAGGAATTATTTAAATAAATAATTATTTAAATAAAAATATAATAATATATTGCATTGGTAGGAATTTTTATGCACATCCAAAAAGGTAAAAATGGGCTTTGTTTTCGGAGTCAGGAACAGATTAATTCATTTTATATTGTTTCTTGTGGGAAAATTTGTTTTGTTTTTAGAACAAATTGGTTTTTCAAAACTTTCAAGAGCAAATTACGTTTGAAAACCAGGGTTTGACTGTACATTATTCTTGTGATCTATGTTTCTTTCTTTAGAATTAGTATATAGTTTTCTTATGATAACTCCTGCAGCAATTCAGATCAAACAGTTTTAATGCACAGATTTGAAGAACCCAACAGGCTTTAATAACTACAACTCAAAGTGGATACAAAAAATGGACCCACAGTGGATTTATTTAGGTGCATATGTTGTTTTTTTCTCTGTATATTCTTGTAATTTCTTTTTTTCTTGGAACTTTTCTCATAATCATATCATGTACTGTTGAAGTGTTTTGAATGATTACTTTTAAATCAAAAAGCTTTTATTTTTTTCAACATATGACAACTGTATGCTAAATATAAGTTTTGCTCTGCTTGTCTTGCAGTTTTCAACTTATAATAAAAAATTAAGTTATTTTTTTTAAGAAGATATTTGCAGTTCAAATCAGTATTGTGAAAATCATGATCCACCACTTGGTAATTATATCTAGCATTTGAAAGGTTCTTTCTAAAGTACTCTTAAGTATGCAGTCTCGTAAATAAATCTTTGAATTATGTTTTTGATGAATCGATGCCATAAGCTTTTTTCTTTATATTTTTATATATAAATAGTTTACAGTTAATTAAAATACAATGCTAGATATTTAAAAAAAAAAACATTAAAAATTGTGGTTGGAATGGTATGAATTAAAATAATAATTAAAATTTTTTATTTCAGGAATTATTTAAAGCTTTGGGGTATAAGTTATTAATGAAATACCTGTATAAAATGTCACCGTTTAAAATGGAACCTACCATATTACCAAAAACAATGCATCTTTCAAGCTCACCAGTAGTAAGTAAAAAATTATTTGTATTTGAAGTAGCAATACATTTTATATAAAATCTCTATGCTCTGTGTTAAATGCTAATCAACAGTTTGCAAAGACTGATTTTTAAGTTGTTTATGCCAGTTTTAGTTTTCAGATAATATGAACTGAAAATTTCTGTTAATTAGGTTTAATGAAACAGTGTTAACATATTAACTAACATTTAGTTAAATTTTTACTTTCCTGGCTCTGTTATATGACAGAGGGAAAATATAGTAATCGATTAAAAAATGACCCCCCCAGATTTTTACATTGTTGGACTCAACCATAAAATGTCAAAGAATACAAAAAAATTTGGGAGTTTTTCCTGTATGTATGGGTGTTAGTGTGTATGTGGGGGGCATGATTTTGTTTACCCTCTTTAAAGCTTAACTTCTGTGCTTTTAGTTGAAAATTTCTGAAATTTTGTAGGGAGATTTGTGATATTGTAATAATAAAAAATATAAAAGTTTTTAAATAAAATATCATAACACCATCAGCAGTTCATAAAAATTACAAAACTCACGGAGACACAGATGGTGCAAACAACGGAAGGAAAGGACTGAAGCAAAGTTTTATCTTTGTTAAAAGTTGTTGTTATATTTATTATATTATTAAATATAAAAAAAGTATTTAATAAACTTTAATAGATAAGACCACATACAATTTTTACTTTGTTCAAATGTGTCTTAGTTGTTTTTAAGCTTAAATATTCTTTTAAACAGAGAAATTTCTCATAATTCAACAAATACCTTAAGCTTCTGTTATTATTTAAATTTTATATCCTAAGCAAAATTGTAAATGATTGTACGTCCTAATGGTCCCTTAACCTCCTGTATTAGTACCAATAAAGTCCTTGCCAGCCTTTTTTCAAATTAGAAATTTTCAGTATAAATGGAAGTAAAATGTGGATTGACAAGTAAATGCCTAGAGAATATTACTGCAAATTAAATTGATTGTAAAAAAATTTCTGAAATCAATCATTTATATAAACTGAACATCTAATGATAATTCATATTGCATTATTAAGATATGGAATAAGTGACATGTATATAGATTAACTTATTCCATATTTAAATTCATATAGATCCATTTATATCTATATAGATGATAGCATAAATTATACACAAGACAAAACATTCACTTGACATGTAGTAAATAACTATTACAATCATATATTGTTTTTATATTAATATAAGTCTGGAAGAACTTGATTCAGAATATTTAGATGTTGGCAATATGTTTGAATATTAGATAATAGTTGTGGAGTCCATATTTGATTCTGACTATTGTTTTTAAGATTAGTTCAAGTAAATTTGTAAGGTTTTAATTTATTTATTCATAAGAGATAATAGAACTGAGGCAAAGATTATTCTTTTTCTTAACATACATTGCACAATTAAAATTGTAATCTTTTGATTTTTTAGCAGATGCTATACTGAAATAGAGCAGTGCTTCCCAAAATTTTGACACCCGTGAATTCCCATTCAATTTTTATAAGTACCAAGTACAGTATCTTCTTGTCAGAAAAATCTTTTGCAAACTACCCACATGCAACACTTACCGAGTAGATGAATTCATATGAAATATATTAGGAATTATTTGGAAATTTATACATTTAAAATAATTTGTTACTACAGTATTTTAATTTAATTAAATTAATGATTTTGTATGTTGGTGATATGTGTATTCAAAAATTGTCATACCTCTCAAAGATCTTTAGCACAATCCTTGGAGGTATATTTAACACACTTTGAGAGACACTGAAATAGAGGAATTGTTTTGTTAGTTTATTTAGCAAAAATTGGATTTACAATTAAAAATTAAGTTTTACTAACATGTAAATAATAAATTTATTTACAAAGGCATAATCATATGAATGTCATATTTTGCTATTTGCTACTCTGAGAAAAGAGGTATTTACAAGTTGATACATAAAATATTTAATTTAACACAAATTTTGTTACAGATTTTAAAAGAAAATTAGTTAAATAGAACTGTTTAATTTTTTGTTAATTATTTTAATTTATGCAGATGATTATTATTATTATTATTTCATATTAGATTCTTGGTACCCCTCAGAGAATGGTTGCTAGCACACAAATTTTGAATAATAGTCCAAGAACGCCTCAACATTTATTGTCTCCGATTGTGGATCATTCTGGAACGTGGTCAGGAAAAAGATGCCATGAATTGGGTGACTCTGAATATTCAGAAAGGTATGATTGAATTATGCTTAAAATTTTAAATTATGTCTATATGAATTTAGTTCATTGAAATTATTATTATTTTTTATTTATTAAACTAATCCAGTTAATGTGTGTGTGCGTGCAATGTTAGTTCTTTCTCGTTAGTATCTCCTCATGTAGTGGAGAAAGCGTACTTTCATCAAATGAATTTTCATTGAAAAATTGTTTTTTATTTAAAAACTAACTTTATCTAACTTTAGATTTCTATTATTGATGACATAATGATATAATAAAATTCATGGTTCTATGAATGTAAAATTAATGGCATCATGCATCAAATATGGCAGAACATGACATTTTTGTAATGAGCAGTAACAAGTTATATAACTGAATTTGTTCGTGGTGCTGTAAACCGGTGTTTTTCAATCTTCTTGAATATACGACCCCTTTACAAGTTAAAAAGTTCTGGCGACCCCCTAGGGCCATATTAAAACTATATCGGTGATTTTAAAAACTATGTATTTAATTTTCTTTCTGTTGAGAAAAAAGTATTGTTGATTAAAATGAAAATTTCAGAAGAATCGACAAGAACTTAACACACATAAAGTATGAAACTTCCTTTAATTATAACATTATGCACAGGGAACTGTTGACTTTTTTTTTTTTTTTTAAGGACCTGAATTTTCAGCTTCTACTTTTCTACTTTTTATTTCTTTTTGCAAATCAGCTCAACACTTTTTCCGCTATCATTTTCTGGGGTGGGCTGTAATTCTCGCTGAAATTATAGTTTTTTTAATGTAGTGTAGGACCTACAAACACTTGTCTTTTTCTTCTACCCGCGACCCCCCAGTGTAAGGCTTCGTGACCCACAGGTTGAAAAACACTGCTGTAAACCATGGACTCTACAATACATTCATTGATGGTTAGATTATATTATATTTAACATAGAAATTAACTTTATCTTTTATATTTAATCTAACAATTTCTCTTAATCTAACTCTAAAATATATTTTATATATATTTAGAGTTAGATTAAGAGAAATTGCTTTTCAAAAAAATTCAGAAATATTTTAAAGAAATGTTTGTTTATTTTACAATTTTGAAAAGAAAAAGTAAAAGAATTTTCAAAAAGAAATTACATTTTTTGAAAAGTAAAAGAAGTAAAAAGGGAGAGAAAGGTGGAAAAGGTTTACGGCATTTCTCCATGAAGGTATGTGAAAAAGTTCAAAAAAAGGGAACTACCTCTTATAATGAAGTGGCAGATGAACTTGTTGCAGAATTTACAGATCCTCACAGACATATGTCACCTACAGACCAAGTAGGTAACTGTTTACTTAAATTTGTCAACTTAAAAAATTCAAAATATATTTGAAAACATTTGAATTTTTCTTCAAACAGGCGTACGATCAAAAAAATATCCGGAGACGTGTTTACGACGCATTAAATGTTCTCATGGCAATGAATATTATATCTAAAGAAAAAAAAGAAATTAAATGGCTTGGTTTACCCACAAATTCTGCACAAGAATGTCATAATTTAGAGGTAAAAAGTACATATATTAGTGCTTATAATATATCTGTGTGTTTTTGTTTGAAGGTTGTTTTAAAACAGTTCTGATTATTAGCTTGAAAAACAGAAAAGAATCGAAAGGATACGATTGAAAACACAACAGCTGCAGGATTTAATTTTACAAGTAAGTATCTCTATATTTAAATGAAACAAAAAAATAGTTTAGCTTTTATTTTATCACATCTCAAAAGTACTTTAGATCAATTTTCATATATGAGAGAGAGAAAGTTATTTTGATCCTTTGTTATATAATAAATAATTATTCTAGTAGGGATGATATTCATTTTGTTCAAAAGAATATTGTGAGCACGTATAGTTTATAAATATTTTCATAAAGCAGTATTTTAGGATAATGAAGTAAAATAGCAAAATATCCAAAAATTTATGAGTTTTTTTTTTATGCTTTATGTTATGATGAAAAGCCTAAAAATAAATTTTATCTATTCAGCAAATAGCATTTAAAAATCTAGTGGAACGCAATAAAGATAAAGAGAAACAGCAATGCTGGCCACTAGGGAATTCGACCATTCAATTGCCCTTTATTATTGTCAATACTAGTAAGAAAACTGTGATCGATTGTAGCATCTCTAATGACAAGTATGTTTATGTATAATGTGCATGTATGTATGTAATTTTTAATTTTATCAAAAATTATATTAAGAGATTTTTTTGTTAGGATGGAATATTTATTTAATTTTGACAACACATTTGAAATACACGACGATATCGAAGTGTTAAAGAGAATGGGACTAGCATTAAATCTCGACACGGGAAATCCATCTTCTGCCGACATTGCAAAAGCCCGACTGATGGTTCCAAAGTCTTTGGAATCCTATATTGTTCGTAAGTGTTTGAATTTTACCAAAATATATATTTCTGAAATATAATTAAAATTTATTATTTAAATAATAGCAGCAAATGGTAGATAGGCTTGACCCCTTAGCAATAACTATTTTATAAACAGCTAAATTCAACTTAAAGATGTCTGTATTTAAAAAAGGGATAAACATTCTTGAAACAATTTCAACTACATGTATCATTCTTAAATGTAGATTGAAAAGTATATTTATTAGGTTATTTGGAAAGTAAGTTTGTTTTTTTTTTACCACTAGACAGATTAATCATATTTTTCCCGCCATTTTCATTCTAAACTGTATTATCTATGTATATTTTGATATCTAGCGTTTTAAGGCTTATTTGTAAAAAATTTTGTTTGATTTTGTTTATTTTTTGTGTCCCATCAAACATGGAAGATCGAAAGCATCATTTTCGGCATATTTTGCTTTTTTATTACCAAAAAATCAAAATGCTGTTTAAGCAAGGAAAAAATTGGGGTACATGTATGGAGATGATGTGTTGACAGAACAACAGTGCCAAAACTGGTTTACAAAATTTCATTCTGGCAATTTCAATATTGAAGATGCACCACATTCTGGATGCCAGTTGAAGCCAATGAAAACAAAATAAAGGCACTGATTGAAGCAAACTGCCGAATAACAACAGGTGAAATCACTAAGAGATTAAATTTGTCAAATTAAATATGATTACTTGAAACAAATTGGTTTCGTTTCAAAGCCTGATATATGGGTTCCACATGTTCTTAAACAGAGATGCTCTCTTTGGTGAGATTTTAAGGAAATTTTTTTTTGGAGCTTTTACCAGACAATTTAATAATTGATTCGAAAGTGTACTGTCATCGAGTAAACAAACTGAGTAATATCATCAAACAGGAAAGACAGCCAGAATTGATCAACAAAACAGATCTAGTGTTTTACCACGATAATGTCAAATTTCACACAAGTTTGGTAACTTGTCAGAAACTGTTATAACTTTGATGGGACATGCTATCACACCAACCATATTTGCCAGATCGAGCACACTTGGATTATTACTTGTTCTGGTCTGTACAAATTTTTTTTAACTGTAAGACATTTACTTGAAATGACAATGTCAAAAATCACTTGGATCAGTTTTTTGTAAGCAACGATCAAAACTTTTATAAATGTGAAATCATGTACTACCAGAAACGATGACAACAGGTATTTGACCAAAATGGTTGATATATAATTCAATAAAATATTTATTTATTATAAAAATATTGTTTTTTTTCCCCACGGAAAAAACAAACTTACTTTCCGAACAACCCAATAATTAAAAAATTTTAGATCATTATGTTCTGAAACAATTCTAAAAACTTTCTAACTTAATTTTCAATAAATAGTTATTATAAACCACATGGCAATGTATCAAAAAAAGGATAAAATTAAAGAATTCATATAAATAAAACGCATATGAAACAAAGGTTAATAGCAAGAGTTTTGACAATGTTCTTGTGTTTTATTATTACTCAAAGTATACTTGTAAATTGAACACAAGACATGGATAAGATCACAGATTCTTCTTTCCATTTAATTTCTACTGTAACTTAATTAAGGACCACCTCAGAAAAGACTACATACAGTAAGATCCCGCTTAACGCTAATCCAATATAATGCGGTCCGCTTGACGCCTAAAAAACACTCAAAATTTGTGCTGATTCAAAATAACACTTTTACATTTTATATAGTTTTTTTATAGTTATAGTTATATAGTTTATAGGATTTTATATAGTTTACATATGAATATTTTATTTGCTGATNTAATAATTATTATTATTATTATTCGATATGTTGAAATTGTACGAAAATGCGTAAAATTTAGATTATGCCATTCGGAGGTTTGTTTTGCATCAGATAAGAAAAGTTGCGAAAACTTTTCCGTCGTAAGCGGGGTTTTAAAAATATTTTCTTATAAGGGGGGTTTTAGATAAAAAGTTTGAGAATCTGACGTAGAGGAACCTAATAATACTTCTATAGACAGAAGACATAAGTGTAACGGATCGTTACGGCCGTAAGATTGGCAACTTTGCTCGGGTCTGATCCAAGACGTTGCCCTCCCGTGACAGAAGAATAGAAATTAAAACGTCGGTCGACATCCGGATGCTACGCCTCGAAAACATTCGTCTCGCATCAGATACTCGGTAGTCAAATCGACCGTACCAAATTTGGCCCTCCGAGTTTTTTTTTTTGCAAATCTCCACGTTTTGAGACCCCGAACCCAAAAGAAAAAATACAGTAGACCCCCCCTATAACACGGTAGATACGTTCCGTATTATATGAATTCCGTGTTGTACGAGTCACTTAAATACATGAGCCAATCACAGCCCGGCACGTGTGCAGTTTAGGAACTACGGCTGTTTGAAAGGTTTTCTTCCATAAAATTAATCGATTCTAGATTAATTTGACTCAACATTTCCAAATCACTTATAATTTTTTGGAAATAATCCATATAAACTATGCTATAAACAAAAAATTGTAGGATTACTTACCAAGTGCGCACCGTTCGACGTCGCCATTGCTTAAGCTTGTTTTCGTCGCGGAGCGGTGCATCGAACGGCGGGTGCGTGTTTTCTGATAAGTTATTTTTCTGCGAAAAATTCGCTGAACTTTGCAGACATCATTACTATAATTTTTATGGCCGTTAAATAACAAATGAGTCTTAGTAGATCTGCTGCTCGTTTAAACTCAACGATTTGTGCAATGTCCGCTATTGGTCTAGATTCGACCGATCCTGTCGCGACACGAGTCGGCGATGACGTTTTACCGCGTTATACGAACACGTTTGCAGTTCTTTCGCCGTGTTATATGAACTCGTGTTAAAGGGACAAGTGTGCGTGTCGGCCTCTATTTAACTTAATATCTCGGGACGGGATGAAGATAAACGAATTTGGCACGGTAGCTTGTATATGAGGAACATTAATGTTGTTTGCGTTTTTCATTAACTATAGAGGACGCTGCAGTTTTACAAAATGACTACTTTATCTGGATGGCTTGTAATTAGTAAAATTAATCATATATTGTAGCTGTTTATCGAGAAATTTTAGAGGAGAAAAATTATTGCTAGCGGGATACGTCATTGTGTGGTATCCAACCAAATGAGCGAGATCGTTCTATACATATTTGTGCTTTTGTGTTAAAAAAAAACAGCTTTGACATCTGTTCCACCAGGGTCGAATTTACAGGTAAGCTATGTAAGCTGTAGCTTAGGGCCTAGAGTTTCAAGGGACCTCAAACATTTCTACTAAAAAGAAAATTGAAGTCAAATTTTGTAATAAATTTTTTTTACAAACCAACAAAATATACTTTACTTTTTATTTTGTGTAGTATTTTATAAAATTTTTTTGAAAAGAATTAACATAGTCTTTTAAAAAATTGATAAAACCAATTAAAAATTTTTTTAATGGAACGGATATAAAAATTTAATTAATTTCAGTTATAAAACATAATACTTCACATCCTTTTCTTCCAATATCTACATTAAATCGGAGACAATCTGATTTAATTCTTTTCTTTTTATTATTGACTTATAAAATTGTGAAGGGACCTTACCATGGGCGTAGCCAGGAAGGGTCATGGCTGGGCACGGCCACCCAGTTAACCTAATGCCCCTCCCCAGAAAATTACAGCCAAAAAGTGTTGAACCAATGGGCCTTAGAGTTCAGCTCGGGGCTTCGAAATGCTTAAATCCGGCCCTGTTTCTCACAAAATTATTAGCATTTTAAACTTTAAGAAAATAACTTTTTAAAATTGACAGCATAGCTGGACAATTGGGGAGTTTTTTCCGACTCTTAAGTCTAATCCACTCTGAATTCGGAGCAGCTCGTAAATATAACCGACCGATTTCCGAATAATCATGTTTTCCATGTGGGAATAGACGAAAACTTATATTTGGCTCCCGTATAACTTTGAAATTGCAATTTGGAACGCAACAGAAAGCTTCCCTTTTTCTATTGCTATTCATCTTTACTGCTGATAATACACAAGAATGATTCAAACGAACCATATTTTGTTTTTAAACACCAGAGTGCCAGCATCCGGTGAAAAATGCGATGGAATGGAGAGGGTGGTCGCGTCTCGCCAGGGGTCAGAATTAATGCTTTGCCATCTCTACCCTCAAAATTAAGTCTTTATATTTATTTATTATTACAAAATATCGCAAAGACGGCGCCACCAAATGTCAGGAAAGTTAAGCAGTCCGTTGGTGGATTTTTTGAATGTATAATTCTGAAATTGTTTTTCGGTAATTTTCAAATAGATTAATATCTATTCCGTATCCGCGTGCCGCGGCGATCAAAATAATTCCCGAAATTAAATTTTCGTCTTCGCTAATTTCCGACGTTACGTATGTATGCCGAATCCAGATTTAGGCACGGCAATTAAAAGTCCCTTCCGTACGAAATATATTCGTAATCTCCTCCTCTCGACTTCTACCGTCTGTCTATACGTCTATCGGTATGCGTAATTTGACGTTTTGCGACGCAAAAGGATGAAAGGTTTTGGAATGCTCAAAATGCATTCCAAAACCTTTCATCCTTTTGAATTGAATTGCCGTGGATTTAACTCTGGCGTTACTTGGGGTTGCACGACCAGAATGGAAATTCTCGGAAAGTATTTTTCCGCGAATTGGTGCCAGACTACGGACAAATTAGCCACCGAGTGGCAAAAAAAAAAGAACGTCATAAGGGTTTTCTGCCACGGCATGGGCAATCCCGTTTAGAATTTTATCCGAGACGAAAACCGGCGGAAATTTCCTTACTTGGAGAATTAAGCAAATAGATGGTAGCCTGGGAAATATCTTTGATGCTTATTGTTCTATTATCGAATATATTCTGATTATTTAAACGTTTGTAACGTTTAAATCAGAAATTGGTATTTTAGATTTATATCATTTGTATTTATTTGGCATTATTTTCACCGCATTTGGAAGTAGATGTTAATTAAAAACGGGAGTAAAGGCAAATCTCACGACGACATCTACCGTATTAATTGTGAAATTAAGTTCTTATAGCACGACTTGGTGTAAAAAAATTTCAACAGCA